TTATCTTAAGGCAAAGTATTTTTTATGCTAATAATTCCACTCTGTAAATTTTAAGATGGTATTCTATTTCCACATTTAGGTGGAGAAGACATTTCACCATGTTCTATAACCTTGGCTACATGACCAGAGAATTACCTCAATAACTATCCCAGTCATAGAAACAACATTTATACTCTGTTGACCAAATCTGAATATTGAAAAGTAATTCAATTCCTATAAGTCTAATATTTAATAATTATAACTAGAAAGAATTTATAAAACCCATAAAACTCATGTTTTTTTTTCAATTTTTTTTATTATTGTATTATTTGTTTTATTTTGGTGGGGGGGAGGTAACTAGGTTTCTTTATTTTTAGAGGAGGTCCTGGGGATTGAATCCAGGACCTCATGCATGCTAAGCAAGCACTCTACCACTTGAGCTATACCCTCCCCACCATGAAACTCTTAAAACGTGGTATTTTTTCAATTGAGAAACAATGCCACAACTGCACACTAATCCAGAGTTCTGTTCTACCTCCAGGGCGGACAAGGGTTTGCATTCCACTCTACCTCTGGCTGGACAGGTGCCATTGTATGAATGGCAATTCACACCAAAAAAACACCATGAAGATTCAAGAACACTCTCAGAAGTAAAAAATGCACAAAAGACATAGAAGAGCTACAAGATTAAAGTTATTTGACAATACTGCCCAACGGTGGGCAGAAATCACCATTTTGGAAACACAATCTTATAAGCCAGGATTTCATGTTATTTTTAGCTCAAATATATTATCAAAGTAGAGCTTTATGTGTTTTGGGGAACAATGGTTTAAAATTCAGTTTTGTATATTTAAGCTCACGTATTCTCTCACTGGGACTTAAAGGAAAAAATCTCTACACATTTATAAGATTTGAAATGTTTTCAATTTAATAATTGATTTATTTGTACTAGTCCTTAGTAGTTTTCATATCGCCATTTTTATTTCATCGACAATCATCTCAGACACACCTTCTAACAAGACTGACTTAAAATATTACGACAGGAAACTATGCCTTCAGGAGCATGTTTATTGTGTTTGAGATGATACATCAGGTGCTCTCTGAGCTACAAAGGGTAAAAGGAAATTCTCTCATTACAAACTGACAAAGGTAAAAGGTAAAACATTTTTCACAACAGCATGAACCACATACTCAGAAATAGATCCGGGTTTAATACAAATGACATAATTCCTAGTCATCTACGGCTACTTTTATAACTTCATACAGATAATGAATTAGGCTAAAATGCACTATAATATTTGGTAGACTTCAGGACCAGTATCCTTAGTACATCACAAAATACATTTTGATATCCCAAAGAAGCAAGACTTGCAAGTAGGCGTTTTAAACATAACTAATCTACAGCTACAAAGTTCTACTCTTGATAGCATTTACCTTTTTGGGGAGTCTCCCAGTCTCCAAAGGATAAAAGCAGAGAGTAGAATCAGTATAACATATACACAGAAGTCCGTATTGTAAAGGCTATAAAGACTTGCAGCACAGTGAGAAGATGCCTCTGCTCCTTCACACTGCATACAAATTATGTCAATTATGTTGCGTATCTCTTGGTCCACTGTCTGGCTATCCTGTCATGTTCTGCTCTGTTGGTCAAATACTGAGTGGCTATGCTTCCAACCAGAGGATCCGCTGGAAAAGTAGAAAGAACATTATAAGATATGATATGATGTCTTAAAGGTTCAGTTCTAATATTCTGTTGATTCTATTGAATTGAAATGCTGATTTTTTGGCAGTATTTTGATATACAATGGCTAATTTTTTAAAAGAAAAATGTTTAAAGTAACACAATCATCTATATATTTTAATATTCAAATTGGAAAAGTCCCTTTAACTGAAATATATTGTTAATAAACTCAATTTTTTAAAACATAAATGCCTTTAATATACAAAAACTATTTCTCATTCTTGGCATTTCACTGAACAATAAAAGTATGCTAGGTGATTGTATTTCTGTCTTTCCATGGATATTAAAAAAAGTAATTTTTAAAAACTCAGATCTTATGATGCAATTCTCTTCAGAATGAAATGTTTCCTTCATTCTGTGCAATGATATGACCCAAAGCATTACCTTATCTTCATTTAAAAACTTATTTGTCATTTTGTTTTAAATAGAATTCTGAGATAGAAACTGAATTTAAGATGTGAGCATTTATTTTCAATTTGCTTTTCAAAAAGGTAGGCCACGTACCATGTACATGGCACAATATCTGAAGTATAACAAATGACAGCTGGTAAACAGCAAAGTCCTCTTCCTTCCTGATTCTAACTACTCAGAAGTTTCTCTTCCTAGAAAACAACTGATACCTGTTTACAGTATTTCTATCCAGAGATATTATACATATTTAAAAGCATTTAGAATATTATTGTTATGCATGTTTTTTTTTCAGTGCTTTGCTTTTTAAATTAATAAATCTTAGAGAGTTTTTCCTATCTATCTAACTTGCTATATGTGTAACTGCTGGGCCTAAGATAATAGTAATGGCCTTTGGCGATTAAATATTTAGAAAAAGTACATCAACTTCTTTTAAAAAATGGCCACTTATTAAGATAACATATGCGAAATCCCAGGCCTAAACATTACTTTTCTTCAAGTCAGCTACCCATATTAAAGATCACGTGCGGCAGTTATGCATTTCTTAAAAATGTTCCAAATTAGGCACTAACGACTTTATCTCTGAGTTTTTATATCATAATCTCGTCCAACTCTCTTATCAGCTCTCATTTTAATATCCACTATTACTACGTCTAATAGAATGAACCATAATCCAAAAAGGCAGGGAGAACAAGAAGCCCTTCACAACTGAGTGGCTGCTTTAAGCATATGGCAGTGTGGAGGAGCAAGAGAAGCAAGCAATGGTGTCAGGGACATGGCTCCACTCCTTTCAAGAGTGGTCTGAACAACTTCATAATGAAAACAAGAGTCCATCAATGACAGGGAGACAATAATTACAGAGTAGCATGCCATTAACAAACTAAAGGAAGTGATTATGAAACTTTTGGTCTATTCTAATTGAAATGGCATTGATAATTTCCTCAAAAAATCCTTTATGTTGATCTTTCTACCAACAGTATTTTGTTTTCAAATCCATATGTAGGCTAACTGGAAAAAATGCACTGGTTTTTGTAGCCTCATTGTATGTGTTAATTAAAATCTGCTTACCAGGGTTGCAGTCTGTCAAAAGAGAACAAATCGACAGCAAAACCTTTGAAATAGTCAAAGCAGGACTCCAGTTATCTTTAAGGATGTCCAGGCAGATGACTCCCTGACTGTTGATGTTGCAGTGATAGATTCTGGTACGGAAAGTAACCTAAGGGCAGTAACAAAAACAGAAAGAAAATTAAAGTTTTATTACCAACTAAAACTCCCACCAGCAAAAATGAAGTAAAACACATCATAGACCATAGCAAATAATTTCACTGAAGAGCTAATCAAACACTAGGTTTAAGTAATAACAAAATTAAACAATTTTATTTATTTCAGTTCAAAGAAATTTTCTTTTTATCCAGCACAAAGGAACTACATTGCTTTTAAACCAAAAGGAGTTTATTCATCTGTTTAATCTAAATGAATGATACAGTAAACTCTATGTATGTTATGTGTGGGCATGAACATACACACCCGTTTAAAGACAGGAAGTGACAGAGAACAGAATGTTTTGGTGGTTAAAGTAAGAGAAACTAGTGAAGAATTTTTTTAAACATAAAACTAGGAAAATATCAGCATCAACTCAGCTAATTTCTTGCCACGTGTCAGAAAATACTGGAGGATTTAGAGGAAGGTTGGTGAAATTGCCAGCCTTTCATTTCCACTACTAGCTCACTGTCTTGCTAGACTAATACAGTAAAATAAAACAATATCTTAAGCTACTGACTAAAGGAAGCTATTATATCCTTGAGACGTGAAAAAGAGAATAAATCATAGGAACAAACACTGGCAGGTTTCAAAACAATCAAACATAATTTGGGTATTAATTCTTAATTTGGAGTTGCAAAGAGACAGTTCCTGATCCCTTCGAACTAGCAACGTAGTGATCTCCTGAGTGGAATCTGTGAAGAGGATATTTAAACCCCTCAGAAGTGTACTTCTGATAAGGATGAGTAATTACAAACAAGAAATAAACCACTGGTCTAGCAGGGGAGAAGACAAGGATCACAGTAGTCCCCTTTAATTTATACTTTTGCTTGTGCAGTTTCAGTTACCTGAGGTCAACTGGGGTCCAAAAAAATTTCAGAAATAAACAATTCGTAAGTTTTAAATTGTGTGCTTTTTGAGTAGCGTGATGAAATCTTGCGGCGTCCTGCTCCACCCTGCCTGGGTCTGTCAGCATGATTCTGCCCTTGAGTGTATCTAGTACCATCCTTACTTTTCTTAGTAGTGGCTCCAAAGCCAAGAGTAGTAACGTTGGCAATTCAGATAATGCCAAAAAGAAGCCGTAAAGTGCTCATTTCAAGTAAAAAGGGGAACGTTCTCAACTTAATAAGGGTAGGAAAAAAAATCCTACACCGAGGCTGCTAAGATCAATGGTAAGAATGTGTCTTCTATCCATGAAATTGTGAAAAAAGAAAAAGAAATTTGTGCCAATTTTTCTGTTCTACCTCAACCTGCAAAAGTGATGACCACAAATGCTTAGTTACGATGGAAAAACACATCAAATCTGTACAAGATATTTTGAGAGAGAGAGACCACATTCACATAACTTTTATTACAGTGCAGTTATAACTGCTCTACTTTATTATTAGTTATCATTAATTTTTTACTGTGCCTAATTTATACATTAAACTTTATAATAACTATGTACGCATAGGAAAAAACAGCATTATATATGGTTCAGTACTATCTGTGGTTTCAGGCATCCACTGGGAGTCCTGGAATGTATTCCCTGAGGATAGAAGGCATTACTGTATATACCTCTATAGCTATTCTAATATAGTACATACTAATTACAAATACTCTTAAAACGTGGCTACTAGAATTAAGATGGGCTAAAAGTGTAAAATACATACCAGATTTCAAACATTCAATAACAAACAGAACGTAAAACGTGGTGTTAATCATACTTACATTGATTACATGTTGACATGACAATATTTTTCGATATACTGGGTTAAATAAAACATATTATTAAAATTAATTTTCATTTCTATCATTTTTAATGTAGCTACTGGAAAATTTAAAATTAAAAGTGTAGCTTGCATTGTATTTCTATCAGACAGCTTGGCTCTAAACTATGGAAATACCGTATTTTC